TATATCAGGTTCATAAATTACTTTATTAAATAAAGTGTTTGGCTTTTGAACCATCTCTATAGCTGAGTGTCTTATTTCTACAATTTAAATGTGTGTAAAATAATTAAGAATTAATTAATTCTTAATTAAATTCTTAATTAAGAATTAAGTTTAGTTTTGTCTCTTACAGACCTTATCATTTGTTAATGCATTACATGTATTAAGAAAATACTATACTCCACTAATGCGTCTTGATGTGGATTAATTCAGCTTTCAGTCACCTAACTTTAGTACTAAGGAAGTTTACTTTTTGTTCCTAAATGTTATTGGTGCTTTGGATTTTAACTATATGTTGTTTTTATTTTGCTGCAGATTTTAACCTTTCTAGCTCTTGGAGAATTTAATTTTGTCACATACAAGTGTGTTGAGGTTTGACAAATCAAATTCTACAACTTTGTGTGTGTGTGTGTGTGTGTGTGTGTGTGTGTGTGTTCCTTTACTAAGAATGTCAAGCCGGAACTCTCAACCTCGATTGAGAATTGGTGTGTAATCCATAATTAATTTAAATATAAAAAAATCACCTTAGTATGATTTAGTAGTTTAAGCATGTGCGATTTACTAGTCTTTTAAAAGTTGTAGATCAGATTTTAATGGATAGCAGAGTTAAGAGACTAATCTGAAATTAGGTTTTCTCAGTTCTAAAGTTGAAAGTGATAAGACTGTGTAGAAACTTCTAGAACCCTGCATGATAGTACAGCAAACAGACAGACCAAACAGAGCAGCTGACCAGTGCAATGTAGAACTGAGACATACCGAGTCCTGCCTCTAAGATGGCTCCTGGGCCTGACCACCTCTCATGCCTCTGTCACTGCCGTCTCTGTTCTCGTAGTTTGCTCTGTTCCATGTAATTTGCTTTCAACTACTTTCTTTTCTTTTTTCTTTTTTTTTTTTAACATTTTTTATTTATTATTTTTATTTTACGTGTATGAGTGTGTTGCCTGTATGTATGTGAGTGCACCCATGTCATGCAGTGCTGCGGAGGTCAGAAGAGGACTCCGGATTCTCCTGGAACTGGAGTTAAGGAGGGTTTGTAGCCGCCATGTGTGTGCTGGGAATTGAACCTGGGTCCTTTGCAAGAGCAGTCAGTGCTCTTAACTGCTGAGCCATCTCTCCAGCCCCTCAATTACTGTCTTTACAGTGTGTTCTTCACATGTCTCTTAAGGTGAGCCTTAAGTCACATTCTAGAAACTGCCCAGATGCTATACCCTGCCACATATGTCAACCCCTACTATTCCACCTAGTCTGTCATATTGGCCTCATACAGAAGTGGCTTCTGCCCCAGGCCATTTGTATGTGCTGCTCCTTTGCTTCCCAGGTATCTCCCTGAACCCCTCATTCGTGCAGGCCTCTACTGTTGAGATAGGCCTTCCTTAACTAAAGAGCCAAGGCCCTAACTCCCAATCACTCTTCAGTCTTGTTATTTCTGGTAGTTAACAACACATGTATCTGTTAGTTTATTTGTCTTCCTCTTAGAATACATGGTTCTGAGAGAGTGGATCTGTCTTATTTACAAATGGATTATTTGTTGCATCTCCCTAGGGCCTTGGGTATGCCTGGTACGTCACAGCATTCAAGTATATGGGAATAAATATGCTAATAGCATATTGTACTAGTACACAGGTTACACTAGTAACCTGTACGGTAGTACATGGTGGACAGTGTACATTCATTAGCACAACTCTCAATTCTTTTAATAGAAGTATTGTCTGCTGTGTGCTAGACATTGTAGTAGGAGTATAGTACACACTTAAGTGGTTTAATGAACCATGGAGCTCACAGGCATTCCCCCTGCTGGGTCATAAACTCCATAAGGGCAGACACTTTGGTTCAGTGTTACATGCCCATATTTCTATACAACTGGAGGTCTTAATCTAGGCTGGGAAAGCATCCCATTGAGACAGTAGGAGACAGCTAGGTTGAGAGAGGAGCATGTGAGAAGTCCTTGGAGGCAGGAAGGAGCTGAGTGATATCCAGCATTTGAGAGAAGTGTAGTGACTTAAAATGTGACAGGAGAAATGAATGCAGGCCAGCTCATTCCCAGCTTTTGTAGATCCTGGACGATCAATGGACACTGTCCTAAAAACAATGGGGAATATCAGAGGGCTTTTGCTAAAGATGTACTGGGCAAACCTCTGGTCTTCCAGCTGTCTTTACCCAGAGCCTACAGTCCATAAATACCCAGGATAACGATGTGACCTAACACAATATCTTAAAATGTTTTGAAAGTTTTTGGAGATTTTGTTTTTGTAACTTGGTTGTACTGGCCTGGAGCATGAACTTTGTAGATGGCAGCATCATGTCTCAATGTGAAAGGTTGGATATGCCTGTGAGGTGGGATTGGTAGGATCTCATATTGAGTGGTTGAGGATACTTGGGCTGACACCCAGAATTCTGTCTTAGCTGAAAGACAGCTCACTGCCATGGGGCATGGGCCGCTTAGTGAAGGCATACAGTTTGATTTTGATCATGTTTAGTTTGAAGTGTCTGTCTGCAAAGGCCACTTAGTGAAGGCATACAGTTTGATTTTGATCGTGTTTAGTTTGAAGTGTCTGTCTGCAAAGGCATCTGATGCCAGCTAGGTTTTCTAGCAGAGTGCTGCCGTAGACCTGTAGACATGGGCACGGGTACAGTGAGCTGGCTGAGATAGCCTCTGCAAGAGATACACACCAAACCACAATGGGCCTAGGAAAAATTACTGCAGAAAAACTCTTCAATGTTGAGTCACAGGAGCTGGCAAAGAACAGAAAATCCAGCAGAGTTCTAGCTCACTCTTAGGAACAAATGCAAAGTACGTTGTTAAAAAAGGCATCTTTAAGAAAAGTTGAAAAAGTGAGAATACTCCAGAAAGAAAACATAATGAATGACCTGTGGTTTTAGTAGAGATAACTGCTCTTCATGTGTTGGTATGTGACCTAGGTTTTTTATATCTAACATATTACATGTATTAGAGAGGGAATTATAGTGTTTATATTTTTATTTTATTTATTTATTTTTGAGACAGGGTCTCCCTGTAGCTCCAGCTAGACTGGAACTCCTTATGTAGACCAGGCTGGCCTTGAACTCACAAAGATCCACCTGCCTCTGCCTCCCAAGTGCTGGGATTAAAGGTGTGTGCCACGATACCTGGCTGTAATACTCTTTTTAAAAAATTCTTTTTTAGGGGCTTGAGAGATGGCTCAGTGGGTAAGAGCACTTCTATTCTTGCAGAAGACCCAGGTTCGAATCCCAGCACCCCAGCACCCACAAGGCAACTGACAACCATCATAACTCCAGTTCCAGGGGATCCAACGCTTTCTTCTAATCTCCATGGGCACTGCATGACACGGTACACCTGCATACTTGCAAGCAATACACTCATACATATCAAATAAAAATGTTTTTTAATGTTCTTTTTTAGTGTGTGTTCAGAATGCTGGGTTTTGTTATGACATACTCATCTACACATGCATATCACTGTACTTTGTTCATATTTGCTTCTCTCTTACTAAACTCCTCAGTCCCTCCCACCTCCTCGTCCCCCTCTTCCTCCCTAATAGTCTTCTTTCTGCTTTGATGCCTTCATACATACATACGTGTGTACACACCCACTGTTACATTTAGATTGGGCATATAAAGAAACTATTCTTTGCCCTTAAACTCTATTTTATATGCATGAGTGTTTTGCCTGCATGTCAGTGCACCTGTGTTGTGCAGTGCCCATAGAGGCCAGAAGACTGTGTCCGATCCCCTAGAACTGGAGTTATAGAAAGTTGTTAGCCACCAGTGGGTGCTGGGAACCAAACTCCTGTCTGCAAGAGCAACCAGTGCTCTTAATTGCTGAGTCATCTCTCCAGCCCAGCCATTAAACTTTTTAAAGAGGATGCATCTGTGTACTATTTTAAAATTTAGTATGAAAAGTAGTAGTGAGCTGAAATAAAGTTAGCTGACTTTGGGTAGACTCCATCGGGGCCGGTGTCTTTCTGCCTCATAAATGGTGATGTATTGTGTTTTTTGCTATTGGTTACTAGAAAATTGAAATTGTGAGAATGAGGTTAGAAATTCCAAATGGTTTTCCTTTAACGGTTCTCACAGATATTAGCATTTGGTTAAACCAAGCACTCAAAGGAGTCCGAGATCGCCATGGGAACACGGTCGAAAACGCTCATCTTCTCACTTTGTTCCACCGACTGTGCAAACTCTTATTTTTCCGAATTCGTCCTATTTTTGTATTCGACGGGGACGCCCCGCTGTTGAAGAAACAGACCTTGGTAGGCATCACCTGATTTTATTTTCTCTTTAGCTACCAAGAGCATTTTTGTTACATAACCAATTTAATTTCAATTTTTGAAGAATTTATCTTTGACAGTTTTTCTTTTAAAAAGCGTTTATGAGAGTCCATCATGGATGCAGTGACCAAATTTAGCTTTTAACAGAAATGACTAGAATTCTTAAAAATAGTTTCCCCTTTAGAGTATGTGTTTAGGTGGTCCTTGTTCAGTCCAGCGCTGCTGCAGCTGCTCACTTTGGAAGCCCACTTAGGAACCAGCTCCCTGAAGAGGAGGTAGAGTGTCATCACTGACAGGGAGCCCTCTAAGTGAATTGAGTTTCAGGAGGAAGCAAGGCTAGGTGGTGCTAAGTGGATAGTGGGTTGGACAGGAAGGAAATGAGACATGAGTTTATTATTTTGAAAGTTGTTTAATACTGTTCAAGCAGCCCAAATAAAAGCACCCATGTGTATGTTGAAAAATATCACCTCTTTGTCTGCCAGACAAATATCTTAGTGAAGATGTGGGAGAAGGTAAGGATTTGGATGCGCATGGGGATCGCTGTTGTCTCTGTCAAATATCTTAACTTGAGTTATAGTTGCCATGACCCAGGGCATAATTCATGTTAGGTCATTTTTAGAAAGATTAGAAAAGAAAGCAGCTTGGTATTTCTGCCTTATATTCAACCAAAGCAGAGCCTGCTCCCCTCGTGCCTGACTGGATGGACCTCCTTGGCCCTCCCTCTCTCTCCCCTTTTCCCCGTCCTCCCTTCTGCTGTTTTCTCTTCCTTCCCTGACTTTTAATTTTTAGCATCTGGCAATATCACTGGTGATTTGTATCGAATTTCTTGAAACCAAATGATGTTTCAGTCAAAGTAGCCTTGAACTTTTGTATGTAAAACACATTAAAATATTTATATTAAAACAGCAAACTATGACAAAATCGTTTTATCAGAGCTTTGCAGTGACTTACTTCAACTGAAAACCCAGCTCCAGACAACACGGCATAGAGAAGAATTGATTCCTAAGTATTGCAGAGTAAGTTATCTAGTTTGCCAGAAATATTCCAAAGAATGCGCCTTGCCACATAGGTTACAACTGTTTTCGGTGAAGTAAGTAACCAACAGTATATTTTGAAATACTCCTTTAAAAACTAGTCATGAAAAGCAACAAAACTTAGCACAATATCTACGCTTTAAAAAGTAGAATTCCTTGTATATCTCCTTATTCGTCTGTTGAGTATGAGAATTCTACTCTTCACTGCCTCACTGAAAAGAGGCTAAAGGGAGTTTCAGTAACCATACAGTCACTAACCTTTTTTAACAGACTCTTTGAAAAAGAAGCCCATGTAAAGGGCTCTTGTCAAGCACCCAGACTGATCATACATGACCCTCCAGACCTGGACCATTTGCACACTGACCCCTTGTTCCATATACAACCAGGCTGATTGAACAATAAATTGCTTCAGATGATTCCAGGTCTCCCCTACCTAGATCCAGTCTCCACAAGAAGTTACAAATGGTGTGTAAATCCTCTTTCATACTAAAGGACGTAAAGAACAAGTCTCTTTACTGTAAATGCTGTCACTGTACTTGTTCAGGTGATGCTCAAGAAAATGCCTTCTGCTGGGCGGTACTGTCTTTGTGTTCTGTCTAGGCAGCACTGTCCTAACAACATTTCAGTCTGTCCAGCCAGAAGTTTTTTTTTTTTTTTTAAATATTTTTTTTATGTGTAAGTGTATTGCCTGCATGTATGTAAGTGTACTCATGTTGTGCAGTGCCTGCAGAGGTCAGAAGAGGGTGTTGGATCCCCTGGAACTAGAGTTAAGGATGGTTAGTAGCCACCATATGGGTGCTGGGAGTCAAATCCATGGCTTCTGCAAGAGCAGCCAGTGCGCTTAACCACTGAGCCATCTTTCCAGTCCGAGCTAGACATTAATTAGAAGATATTTTTATACATTTTCAAGATTTCTTCTGACATAATTTGAATGTTGAGGGATAGAGCTACATATAAATAATCCATTTTCTGAAAACACAGTATTCAGTTGTTTTTGGAATGTTATGTTTTATTTATTCGATTACGTATCATTAAGTTTTAGGCTTCTTGGTGGTACTGAAGGATATTGAAAAGCAACTGAAAGTAAGTTAATAATTTCCCAGGTATATCTTACTTATATTTAGGTGGGGTTCTGAGTGTCCTTCACAAGGCAGAATCTGAAGCTGGTTATTGACAGCAGGGACAAGGGAACACAAGCAGCCGTTGTCCCTAGATTCAGACAGATGGGATCATCTTAGCAGAGTGCCCGAGGTGAGATCTCGTGTGCTTCCTTCTCACAGGCGAAGAGAAGGCAGAGGAAGGATTATGCCTCCAGTGACTCCAGGAGAACGACAGAGAAGCTTCTGAAAACATTTCTGAAGAGACAGGCTCTCAAAACTGCCTTCAGAGGCAAAAGGCAGGAAGAGGACCATGGGGGTGTCAAGACAGTTTAAGCTATGTTTTTGTTGAACTCCTGGTGCTCTCTTTCCCTATCTCATTTTAACTCTCAGTAGAAAGTAAAGAATGAAGAGAGGAGGAGCAGGGTGTGGTTGACTTGGAGATGTGAAGGCATGAGCCTTCCCACTTCTGAGAGAATCAGCTTTGCTAATAAGAAAAGCTGTGATGCCACACTGCCTACCCTGTTAATTAGCACCTTTACTTAC